TCAGGATTTATATAGGGTCATATGCTAATTTTATATATGCACAGCGATCGGTTTGTGGCATGACGTATATCATATCATATGTATCACCCTAGTTCCCTGCCAGTTCCACGACAGTTCTAGGAGAGTTCCAGGAGCTGGCGAGTTTCCATAAATCATGAGATGATCGGCCAATCAGATTTATGTAGCTAAAAAAAAAGAAACGCCATAACTGACATACTCATGGCGCAGTGTTTATTTTGGGACAGAACATCATGTCATCAGGGCACAGTAGAATGTAGCACAGTATTATACGGTTCCTGCTCCTTGACTTCAGCAATCACATAATCGGTATGTTGGAGGGGTACGGTAGATATAATCCGGGCTATTTTTTCTAAAATTCTAAAATTCTATACATTATTGGACGCTATTTGAAAACAAGATCACGTGCATGTGACAATCACATTAATTACTTTATTTTTTTTTGATACACCAAAACACTATCCAAACACAAGTTAAAAAAGACAAAACCGAACTAACAAATACACATTTACAGTCATTACAGTAATTGTAACACTATGATAGGTCTAATCACACCATTACAATTGTAACACTAATCACTTGCGCAGAGATTTATTGGATAATAGCATATGGATGTTATAAATAACATTACGTAAAGAAAAATATTATAAGCAATAGCGTAAAAAAGGTATTCTAGTTTCGCGTTCTCTAAATCAATGGTTCAAATTCCGAAGGCGATCCACCGGGACACGGAGACTCAGGAGATGATGTTTGATTTTTTTCCGCCTTCTTTTTCTTTGGTGTATCGTCAACTGAAGTTAAATGGAGATTATTGTCTCCTCTCGTATTATCTACTGCGGTTGCTTTGTTTACTGCTCTGACCGTTGACAAGACATCGGCCTGTAATAACAAAAAGTATTTATTATAAATATTTAACAAGATATCTAAAAATATCCATTTTCAATCCTTTACCTGCCAACTCATTAGATCTTTTAGATCATTGGAGAATTGTTCAAAGTCTCCAAAGGAGGCGGGTAATTTTGTACGCTTAAAACGTTGGAGTATATATATCGATGGAATTGGCCGAACCAAATATTTAATTTCGATAAACCCATCTATAAGAAAATATTAGGTATATATAAGTAATCAAACTTCATAATATTTGGTTTCTGATTGCAATGCTTACTGAAAGATTGTACTAAATATACTCGTGCACGGTCCTTTGGTATAGTTTTTAATAATTTGTTTAGAGTTCTCATTGCGTTACGACACAATTTTAACTGATCGCCATCTTTTTTGGACTCTGGTGCCTTTCTTCCATACGAAAATTCTACAAGAATTATGACCTGGCCTTTACCAGTTGTCCTGATCACTTTGTACAGTCCATCAAATTTATGGTCTTTTGTGTCCGGAGTAGTTTGTTCAATCCTTAGTTAAACAGCAAAGATTAGTGAGCTTAATAATTCAAAACTTCGAATTTTAAAATTGATATTTACCATGCAACATCTAATTCGTCTTGGTGCATCCTAAATAGTCGATTTAAGATGTACACTATGGTGTCGATGGCAAAAGTTCTTTCTAAATCGAGGCCTTTATATTCGACTCTCATTGGAGCTTCAAGTCGAACAGAACTATTTATAGAAAATAAGTAATAGTATGAAAAATATGTTAATGTTAATATAAAAAAATACTTACAAATGCGTTAGTATTTGTTGGGCGATATCGTGTGCTTCATGATAACAAGGATCAAATCTCCCGGGGACATAAGACTTGCGCACAATAGTTGGAATCTCGGTTCGAGTACATGCATCCTCCGTAAATTGTTCAATATATTGTACAAATTCGGGGGTTGACTTCCAGTTTTTCTTCATGATAACTTTTTCAAGCCAGTTGAGTTGATCTATATCAAGAAACTTTTTAACTGTCTTATACACCTTCTCGTCAGAGAGAACTAGTATGCCATTAAGACATACTGAAGTCATGTAATTCCCTCCTGATTCTTTATCTTTATTTTGGTATTCAACCAAGATACCGAGCAATCTATTGCGAATTTCTACTTCGTCCTAGGAGATTAAGTATGAATGAGCAAAATATTATACATAAAGTTAGAAAAAAGCCAAAATACCTCCTTAAGATCTCTGATCTCCTCTTCATTTACTACGTCAACTTGTTCCGCTTCACTCTCTCCATTAGATTCTAGATTGATTTCATCTGTATTAGTAGTTTTAATCTGTGTACAGTACATCAAAAAGTAGGAAATGTGAGTACTTTTGTGGGCCTGCAGGTTGTATTCTGTACTAACCTTCTTATTATTCTTAGAAGATTCACCACTATCCATTATTCGCTTTTCTTTACTTCTCGAATCATTTAAAATATTAGGGATACTCATTATACCTAAATTTGCGGGCGTGGTATCCTAAATAGGTACATTGAATCAATTCGCAAAGTTCGCAGATGCTGAATAGTAGAAATACAAAACACAAATTATTGACCTTAAATTCCGACAACAATCGATCACTTGTAACACAGAATTCATCTAATACATTTGATTCGGTCTGAATAAAATGTAGTTTCTAACAATTTACAATAAGCAAATTAAAAATAATGATTTCATGATACAGACAACATATACTGTATATACTCACTTTTTTTTCAAACAAAATAAGTTGCGCATTACGAGCTCTAGCTCTTTCGTCTCGCAGACGTACACTTTCCCAAAATTCCCGGACAGTAGAAGAGTTGATCTGTTCGTTGAATGTCTCAAGCTGTATGCGAGCTTTACCAGCTTGTTCTCCATTCCCAGACGCAATAGCCTTCAATGAATCAAGACAAACTTCCTCGGCTTGTTTTTTTTGCGATAATGGGAATTTGGTCTTTGAAAAAAACTTAACAAGACCGTATCCTTTCGCTAAAAGATCTTCTAAAACTTGAACGTAACCTTTTTTGTAATGTCAGATGTTAATAAGGGTTCTAAGTTGCCTGTAAACAATATTTTTTTCTCAACTCGAAACTTTCCCACAGTAAGGTCGTTATGTCGAAGAAGATAGTTGTTTCCATGACAACACCAGAGGCGGAAAATGTACTCTCCATGTGGAAGACATATCCCCACTGGTTTTACATGCCCAGAAACACTGGATTAAAAGAATCAGAACTTTATGTATCATTCAAAAGTCGCTGAAACAACAATTTACGGACAACACACAGAGGCATAAGACACGCTCTCCCGTAGGAAGATGAATACCCTCGGGTTTTATAGGCCAGTAAACAGCGAGTTAACATTTTAAAATTTTATAATAATACTTAACTGGTAGCAGGCCTGGACATGTTTATGTAAAAATATGGTCTGGAGAAACTATAATTATGTAAAAATCACATTTCAGAATAAAAAGTAATAAAAGTATAGACCAACAACAACACGACAAATCAACATGACAAATGACAAATCTTATCGTACGATACACAGCCATATGAATCACGTGTCAGAACTTTTTTTGTTGGGGGAAAATCATGATAATTTCCTGATTAAATACCAGAAAAATGGTAAGTATCATGTGTAGCATCGATGTCATTTTTCAAAATTAAATCGAGCAATAGTAGGACA